TACTGACCGTTTTTTAAAGTTTTCAGCCCTTAAAGATTTTTCATCTAAAGGCTCTATACCTGAGCTCCGAACCCTATTTAAGTGGGGGTGAAAGCGACGCCTTCGTGTGAATTTATTCTCCGTATGGGCCTAGCAAGTAACATTCGGGATTCATATACCTTATGCCTTCGTGTGAATTTATTCTCCGTATGGGCATAAGGGAATGTTTCCTCTCGAGTTTAACTTAGTCCACACAAGCCTGTGATGGGTTTAGGACTAAGGGTCTGGCAAGCCCAAGGGGGCACCAGCAAGGAGAACTCGGGTACCATTTTTTAGCACCTAAACCGGGAGACCATGGAGAATTAGAGCCCACCCCAAAATCTCATTCCAAACCCTAGGCTGCTTTGTTTCCTGCTTTAGTTTCTGTTCAAAGCAATTTGTCTAGTTTCAAACAAAATCTCTATCCCGCATGCTACTTTCAAACAAATCCTAACCGCATATTTGTCTAGTTCGCATGCTTTGAACAGAAACTAAAGCAGGAAACAAAGCAGCCTAGGGTTTGGAATGAGATTTTGGGGTGGGCTCTAATTCTCCATGGTCTCCCGGTTTAGGTGCTAAAAAATGGTACCCGAGTTCTCCTTGCTGGTGCCCCCTTGGGCTTGCCAGGTCCTTAGTCCTAAACCCATCACAGGCTTGTGTAGACTAAGTTAAACTCGAGAGGAAACATTCCCTTATGCCCATACGGAGAATAAATTCACACGAAGGCATAAGGTATATGAATCCCGAAGGTTACTTAATAGGCCCATACGGAGAATAAATTCACACGAAGGCGTCGCTTTCACCCCCACTTAAATAGGGTTCGGAGCTCGGGTATAGAGCCTTTAGATGAAAAATCTGTAAGGGCTGAAATTATTAAAAAACGGTCAGTACAACTATTTACTTCGAAAATATAATCAAAAGTAAGCAATAAGGATCGAAATGTTACCTTAAAATTTAAACTTACCCTTTTCATTAAAAAGAAAACTGGAAATTACCTTAGCCTGACTCACTTACGGTCCCCAGCAGAGTTGCCAAGCTATCGCAACCGTGTTTCGGTTGGGCCCCGAAATTGGGCTTCGACTTGAAAAATGTGATTGGTGTCGCCACCGATTATTTATTTAAAAAATAAATAGGTTAATCGGATACCTTTTATCTTACCTGATCTGCGTCTTACCAAAGATATGTCGGATTCGGGAGTCGATTACGGTCAAGGAAGGATTAGCACCCTTGAACCGCCCTTTCGGTACTACGTAATTTGCCGGTTGTCTTAAATTAAGAAAATTGTAATTTAAAATTAAAAGGTAAAAATACGATCACAATTACTTACCTTAGATAGTTTTAAAGGTGTGACCTTAAGAAGGTCAAAAAACCATGTTAGATAAAAAGGTAATAGATAAAAAGGTAAGAAATAAATAAATTAATTAAATTAAAATAAAGAGAAAACAAATTAAATAAAAGATAAGATAAAGAAAATAAAGATAAAATAGTAAGTAAAATAAATATAAAAAATAAAGAAAAAGAAGAAAAAGAAGAAAAAAAATATAGAAATAAAACAAATAAATAAAATAATAATAAAAAAGTAAAAATAATATATATATAAAATAAAAAATAAAAAATAAAAAAGTAAATATATATATATATATATATATAAATTAATAAAACTGATAATAAAAAATAATATATTTATATATATAATCTAAAAAAATAAAAATATATACTAAAGTAAAAAAGAAAATACATAAAATGTAAAAAAAATATTACATGAAAAAAAAGAAAAATAAGAAAACAATTAAATAAAATGAGTAACAAGGGAAATATGCTTATAAATAAAGTTAAATAAATAAAATAATAATAATTAAAACGTAAATGTAAGAGACCAAATCAAAAGTAAAAAAAAATACTACCTTTTATTTATTTTTCGAATCGTTTACAATAGCTTTGCCTTTGTATCTTCTCGTGCTTTCCTCTATGTTTTGTGTGTAAATCGTGTCTTACAATGGTGAGTTACAATGGCTATTTATAGTGCTTGTGGATCCTATCTTTAGGAGTTTAAATCATAAAATTCTATCCTATTTTTTGAATCCTAGCAAAATTCTATCATATCTTTAGGAGTTTGAATCCTAAAATTCTATCCTATTTTTAGGAGTTTGAATCCTAGTAGGACGAAAAATGTGTGTTGACAGTTGCCCCTCTTTGCCCATAGTCGTGTAACGGGGATAGGGCAAAGATTAAAAGACACACTTTTCGTTCAGTGGAGTTGAAAATTAACTCTGATGTTTCAATAACTCCCTGTCGAATTGAGTTACGGATGACTCCTCCATCGTGAAGTCGAGTTCATCTTGAAATGATATGAAATTAAAGCCGTAGTTCGGAATTTGAATCAGCACGTGGCTTCCCGTTACCCTTCGGTCTTCTTCTCGGTTTAAAGACCTTGGATCGGAATAGAACTGAGAAATCTTCATTGACAGATAGCTTTTTCTTGACTTAAGCTATGCTGTTTGAAAATGTTTGCTTGTCACTAAGGCACGGCTAACCCAGGTCCTCTCCTCAACTTGAAAACCTCGACTGCAACCGGAAAGTAGTGCGATTGATGTGTCATCGAGCTGAATGGAGTCGAACTCGACAATTTTGATGGCAAATAATCCTTCTTTGAGTTGGATATCCTTCGTCGTGAAGTTGAAATCCAAGTAAGTAGCATTGTTCCAAGTCCAATATCCTCCGTCGTGAAGTTGAAATTGGCTCTGGAACCGGAAAATTGTTTGTTGACAACCAGTCGTCCCTTCGTTGTGAAGTTGAACTTGTGTTGTCTCGAGTCCAATATCCTTCGTTGTGAAGTTGAAATTGAATCTGAATGAAATTTTGTTGACAAGCAGCGGTCCCTTCGTCGTGAAGTTGAACTTGCGTTGTCTGGAATCCAATATCCTTCGTTGTGAAATTAAAATTGGCTCTGAGATTGGGAAGTTGTTGTTAACAAGCAGCGGTCCCTTCGTCGTGAAGTTGAACTTGCATTGTATGGAGTCCAATATCCTTTGTTGTGAAGTTGAAATTGGCTCTGAGATTGGGAAGTTGTTGTTGACAAGCAGCGGTCCCTTCGTCGTGAAGTTGAACTTGCGTTGTCTGAAGTCCAATATCATTTGTTGTGAAGTTGAAATTGGCTCTGAAATTAAGAAGTTGTTGTTGACAAGCAGCGGTCCCTTCGTCGTGAAGTTGAACTTGCGTTATCTGGAGTCCAATATCCTTCGTTGTGAAGTTGAAATTGGCTCTGAAATTGAGAAGTTGTTGTTGACAGGCAGCGGTCCCTTCACCGTGAAGTTGAACTTGCGTTGTCTGGAGTCCAATATTCTTCGTTGTGAAGTTGAAATTGGCTCTGAAATTGAGAAGTTGTTTGTTGACAACCAGTCGTCCCTTCGTTGTGAAGTTGAACTTGTGTTGTCTCGAGTGCCACGATATCCTCCGTCGTGGAGTTGAAATCGCAGATGAAACTGAAAAGTTGTTCGTTGACAACCAGTCGTCCATTCGTTGTGAAGTTGGACTTGTGTTTTCTCGGGTAGCACGATATCCTCCATCGTGGAGTTGAAATCGGTTCTGGAATTGGGAAGTTGTTCGTTGACAACCAGCCGTCCCTTCGTTGTGAAGTTGAACTTGTGTTGTCTCGGGTAGCACGATATCCTCCGTCGTGGAGTTGAAATCGGTTTCGAAATTGGGAAATTGTTGTTGGCAACCAGCCGTCCCTTCGTTGTGAAGTTGAAATTGACTCTAGCTAAAACCTAAAAAAGTTATGCATATATGTGATGAGATGGATGCAATGCTCTTAGGTAGGCCTAAAATGCATATGCAACATATGTTATTTTTGGGCTCAGGAGAGAAATCTCGATCTCCGATTGTTTTTCTGGAATCTTGGCTCTGGAATCTTCAAGTTCTGATCCCTGGTCTCAAATTCTTCAAATGTTCAAATATGATGTGCACATTCTATTTTTGATTTGAGAAATGCTATCCCAAGTATGTGCCTGAGCTGAGTGTAACGATTCAGATGATGCTTCAAGAGAAATTGTCTCAAAAGAGACAGAACTCGTTTCAAGGGAAACGATCTCAAAGATATTTGTTGCTTCAAGGGAAACGGTCTTAAGGGAGACAAAATTTTGTTTTAAGAAAAACTGTCTCAAGAGAGACAAAACTTAGTTCCAAAAGAAATTGTCTCACGGGGAGATGAAATTAGTTCCAAGGAAAACATATTCAAAGATGATGCTTCAAGAGAAATCTGTCTCAAGGGAGACAAAATTTTGTTTCAAGAGAAACTGTCTCAAGAGAGACGAAATTCATTTCAAGGGAAATGTTTTCAATATTTATGTTTCAAGAGAAACTGTCTCAAGGGAGACAAAATTTTGTTTCGAGGGAAACTATCTCAAGAGAGACAAAATTCATTTCAAGGGAAATGTTTTCAATGTTTATGTTTCAAGAGAAACTGTCTCAAGGGAGACAAAATTTTGTTTCAAGGGAAACTATCTCAAGAGAGACAAAATTCATTTCAAAGGAAATGTTTCCAATGTTTATGTTTCAAGAGAAACTGTCTCAATGGAGACGGAATTTTGTTTCAAGGGAAACTATCTCAAGAGAGACAAAGTTTGTTTCAAGGGAAACTTTTCAAGAGAAACAATAGTGAGAACGATTCCCTTCGTCGTGAAGTTGAAATCGTGGGTGGCCCCTTCGTCGTGAAGTTGAGCCAGGAATTGGATATCCTTCGTCATGAAGTTGAAATCCAACTTGAAAATGCGAACTGGATCGGTTCTGAATTATCTCTCGAACTCGTCTGAAGTTGATTCTAAGATCTGTCGATCTTTCAATATGTCAAATTGGTTGATGTGTAGCTTCTTGCTGCTGAGTTAAGCAACCAACATCAATCTTTAAAGGTGCTTTTGATTCGAGTATCATTCGTCTTGAAGTCGAAACTTGACTCTAAAAGCTGCAAAAATTATGTATGTGGAAAAAATGATGCTCTAAAATGTATGCATAAGATGCATATAACATGAATTGGTTATATTTTATCTCTTGAAAAAGGCCTGATAATTCGCATTAGGATGTTGAATCCCCAAATATGCCCAAAAAATGCCCAATATTTCATGTTGAATCTTCAAAGATGCCCCAAATGTTCCTCATTTCTTGCTTCAGCATTGATTCTGAGCATGAGTTTTGTGTCTAAGAGTCACATGTCATTTACCAAGATCCACTCTAGAGAGACTGTCTTGTTTGAAAAAAATGTTTTTCTTTCTCTTTTATTTTCAAAGTTTTTGAAAATATCAATAAAGAGTTTTGAAAAATGTTTAATCCAAAGTTTTGAAAATATTGTCACTTTCATGGTTTTACAATTGAGATGAATCATAAAACTAGAGTTCATCGGATATCAAAGAATTAATTACAATGTCAATCCTTCAATAAATTATAGCTATTTGACATGCGCCCAGATCAAAGCTATTTCTGGGAAATGGTCAAGCAAAGAAAGGATAAAAAGTCTCAGGTTATTGTGTTTGGTCAAAGGTTTGGCATTTTTGTTCATTTGATGCTCAAAGGTTTGACATTGGATGCTCAAAAGATTGATGGGGTAGCTTGCATGCTCCTCTGCTGGAAGTGTTCCCTGACTCCCAACCTTTGTTGTCACACTCGGATTGTGCGATGCCTTATCAAGGAATTTACGTGATCGCCTCAGTTGCACAATTTTTATATTCGAGCCGCCTTTTCAGGTTTTCAACTCGAACCCTCCTTTGGTTTCAAGACGTTATTCAGGATTTACGTCTTGAACCCCCCTTTGTTATTTTTCTCTACCATACATTAATTACATTGTTTTTTTTGCAAACAAAGATTAATCCTGATGGGCGGGATGAAATCTGAAGATAGTCTCTTCTGTTTAGAAATCCATGTATGATTAGAAGGGACTTTTAAGGCACGTAATGTAGGCCAGGGTTCGTGGTTATGAAAGAAAAGGATAAATAGGCCCAAACAAGTGTTTCAGGGTATTGAACCAAGGATCAATTCATTCTGATGCCATCAATCTTGTCTTGCTCAAAATGTCTCTTTCTCTTGATGCTCTATGATCTTTGAGTGAAGGGATTCAGTGATTCAGGAATGATTGTGCTTGATCAATCTCATTGAAGCTTGATGCACCATTTGTCTTTAGGGAATTTTGCATGTGCTTTTTGTCCCTTTTTTTATTTTTGTTCTTTCTTTTTTGTTCTTGTTTTTTCCTTTTTTGCTTCTTTTCTTTTTTCTTTTTGCCCTTTTTGTTCTGATTGAATCATCGCACTTGGCATTTGGTTCACCTTTCGGTATCTCATCTGAATCAATGTCTTCACTCATGTGAGCAGATTTTCTCCACCTTGCCCCCCAGTGTGGAGGGTGATCCTTGGTTAGGGTTGAATCAGAAGAAAAAAATACTATAGGCTCAAAAGGGGACACAAGGGATATATATTTTCTCCTGTTGTGAAGGGATAAAGAAAGAAAGCCATTCATCATTTCATACATGTAAGTCTTCACATAAGAGGTATCCCCAGGGGGATAGATTTTCAGGATTAGTTCTATTCACATGAAAACAATGTAGTTAATGCATGATAGAATTATTTCGGATGAATTCTTTTTTCTGCTCCTTGCTCCCAACATGTCTCAATGTTCAGGCTCCTGGCGAGATGCCCCAAACTGTATCTTGGAAGAATGCTCATGTTCAAATGAACAACTCAATGCCTTGGGTTTTAATGGTAAAAAAGGTTAATTTTGAGTCTAAAAAGACAGTTGTGTGATCTTATTGACTCAAAGAAAGGTGTGGGTGTATCAAAAAGATAAAGGTAATGTTCAAGAATTTCAAATGGAGGTAATGTCAAAATTTGGTTTTTTGATAATGACAATGAGTTATTTTGGGTAAAGAATCAAGGTGTTTTATTCTAGGGTTTGAGACAGGGTAAGAAATGTATAATCTTGTCATATGTCAAAAATCTATAATTCTTGAAGAATTAAAAGAATCCTCAATTCATTTAATATTCAAAGAACTAAAGATTAAAATTTGTTCAATTGCTCCACCTTAGAAAGTAACATGAATTCAATCGTTTAAAAGATGTGTTCAAACAAAATAATCCTCTAAGTGCAAATGGTATATGCCATGCCCCCTTCTTCAGCAAGCGCCTTACAGTTTTCAGAAGAATTTTTGGGAATCCTTATGTGGCAACAGCTTCAACATCGTAGCCCTTAGGAGATGGGTACTCTTTTCTCAGATCATCCTGGCAAGCTTTGTCCTACAATCAGCTGATCAGGCTCCTACTGTTACAATCTTGCTTCCATGTGGTTAAATTCGCTTCATCGAGCCCTTCACGACTTAATTTCATGTTTGTGAAAATGCTTAAAATGTAGATGAAAATGCAAAAAGGCAAAAATGCAAAATGCTAGAATGCATGAAATGTTCGAGGCATTGATCCAGAAAAGTGTCCATTATCATAAATAATCCTTATTCAGACAAAAATGTTTTATCTTGTAAGAGACATAAAAACAATAAAAGGTATGTTCTGACTAAATCTTCTAGACATCCATCCGAGATACTTTCTTCCATGACTCGACTGCTTCTTTGATCATCTTCTTATAACTGTCACCGTGATACATAAACTCTGATATAGATAATCCATATGTTGCTGGGACAAACTGATGTGCCCCATACTGTCTAAGTGCCAACAACGGAGCATACCCAACTGCACCTCAAAGTCCAAATAGGGTCATAGTGTCAGAATTCCCACACTTGAAAAGAACATCACTGAGGAACAACCAGGGGGCTCTCCAGGTAATATCCCGGTCCTGAAGATGAGTGAAGACTTTCATCCATTTCTCTTTTGAAGTGCCTTCATGTCATGTCATGGTGATGAACTCTCTCAAAGGTGAATACGTAGTGATAAATCTACAGTAGGCAACCCCATTAGTCTTTCAGAAGTGGATGTGAATCCAGAAGTGGATGTGAATCCAGACTTGAAGGAACTGAACACATCCAATGAATCTACCTCCACCAGCTCTTCGGTAATGGTTAAGAGACCAAAAGGTCTCGGCTGAGATGGTCGGTGCTGGGTTGACTTGTTTCGGAAGTTGCTCAAACAGTTCCACCACGGCTGCGTCAATGCATCCCAAAACCTTTGGAAAGATGATCAAGCCATCCAGACCTAGTGCAAAAAGGTCTATAGTCTTCCATTCATCACGGTGGTCCTTCATTAGTTCCCTTATGTGGATCCACTCAATTCCTTGCCCGTTACCTTTGTTACGGAGTCGGTCAGTCACCCATTTTTCATCAACTCCTGCAATCTTAGCCAGTCCGTTCTTGAAAGGCTGACTCTTGATGTGTTTGATGTAGGCTCGCTCCAGTTTAATGCTTTCACAGTGCAATAGTGTAGTATACTCCTCGATGGTAGGTACCATGTCCTCCTGGTTAAAAGTGAAGCAACTGTATCCCAGGTTCAAAAATTGAACCAAGACTCTGATTAAGGGCTCATCGGTCTTAACATGAAGCAAAAATGCAATGTCACCATACCGCTGACTGAACTTCTATTTCCGATCATTCTTCCAACTATCTCAGATGTCTCGAAGTTCTTGCACATTATTCTGTTTTAGGTTGATAGAGGCGTAGCTAACCAGCACTGACACATAGCTTTCTTGAAGACTGTCTCCCTTTTCCTTCTGAGTCTTCTCGGACCATAGTCGTACCTCGGGGTTTTTAATCTCTTGTATTACAACACCTTTTTCCATGGATTCAGATTATTCGAGTTTTAACAAACACGTTTTAGTGGATCAATGACCTCTTTTATGATGCAAGTGATGAAAATAAAATAAAAGAAAGATGAAAAGAGTTAGTGAGGTGAAAAAAAAATAAAAAACGATCATAAAAATGAAAGTCCTACCCCACATGATATTTACCCCACATGCTTATTATTCCTACCCGGACATGATCTCTATCCCGCATGCTACTTTCAAACAAATCCTAACCGCATATTTGTCTAGTTTGCATGCTTTGAACAGAAACTAAAGCAGGAAACAAAGCAGCCTAGGGTTTGGAATGAGATTTTGGGGTGGGCTCTAATTCTCCATGGTCTCCCGATTTAGGTGCTAAAAAATGGTACCCGAGTTCTCCTTGCTGGTGCCCCCTTGGGCTTGCCAGACCTTTAGTCCTAAACCCATCACAGGCTTGTGTGGACTAAGTTAAACTCGAGATGAAACATTCCCTTATGCCCATGCGGAGAATAAATTCACACGAAGGCATAAGGTATATGAATCCCGAAGGTTACTTGCTAGGCCCATACGGAGAATAAATTCACACGAAGGCGTCGCTTTCACCCCCACTTAAATAGGGTTCAGAGCTAGGGTATAGAGCCTTTAGATGAAAAATCTTTAAGGGCTGAAATCATTAAAAAATGGTCAGTACAACTATTTACTTCGAAAATATAATCAAAAGTAAGCAATAAGGATCGAAATGTTACCTTAAAATTTAAACTTACCCTTTTCATTAAAAAGACAACTGGAAATTACCTTAGCCTGACTCACTTACGGTCCCCAGCGGAGTCGCCAAGCTGTCGTAACCGTCTTTCGGTTGGGCCCCGGAATTGGGCTTCGACTTGAAAAATGTGATTGGAGTCGCCACCGATTATTTATTTAAAAAATAAATAGGTTAATCGGATACCTTATATCTTACCTGATCTGCGTCTTACCAAAGATATGTCGGATTCGGGAGTCGATTACGGTCAAGGAAGGATTAGCACCCTTGAACCGCCCTTTCGGTACTACGTAATTTGTCGGTTGTCTTAAATTAAGAAAATTGTAATTTAAAATTAAAAGGTAAAAATACGATCACAATTACTTACCTTAGATAGTTTTAAAGGTGTGGCCTTAAGAAGGTCAAAAAATCATGTTAGATAAAAAGGTAATAGATAAAAAGGTAAGAAATAAATTAATTAATTAAATTAAAATAAAGAGAAAACAAATTAAATAAAAGATAAGATAAAGAAAATAAAGATAAAATAGTAAGTAAAATAAATATAAAAAATAAAGAAAAAGAAGAAAAAGAAGAAAAAAAATATAGAAATAAAACAAATAAATAAAATAATAATAAAAAAGTAAAAATAATATATATATATAATAAAAAAAAGTAATATATATATATATATATATATATATAAATTAATAAAACTAATAATAAAAATAATATATTTATATATATAATCTAAAAATAAAAATAAAAATATATACTAAAGTAAAAAAGAAAATACATAAAATGTAAAAAAATATTACATGAAAAAAAAGAAAAGAAAAATAACAAAACAATTAAATAAAATGAGTAACAAGGGAAATGTGCTTATAAATAAAGTTAAATAAATAAAATAATAATAATTAAAACGTAAATGTAAGAGACCAAATCAAAAGTAAAAAAGATACTACCTTTTATTTATTTTTCGAATCATTTACAATAGCTTTGCCTTTGTATCTTCTCGTGCTTTTCTCTATGTTTTGTGTGTAAATCGTGTCTTACAATGATGAGTTACAATGGCTATTTATAGTGCTTGTGGATCCTATCTTTAGGAATTTAAATCTTAGTAGAACTCTATCCTATTTTTAGGAGTTTGAATCCTAGCAAAATGTTATCCTATTTTTAGGAGTTTGAATCCTAAAATTATATCCCATTGTAACACACGATTTACACACAAAACACAGAGGAAAGCACGGAAAATACAAAGACAAAGCTGTTGTAAACGATTCGAAAAGGAAATAAAAGGTAGCATTTTCTTTTTTCTTTCTTTTGCATGTGCACGTTATTTTTCTTGAGATTTGGTTCGAATAACCCAAAACGTGGGTTGCGCCGATGACCAAAATGGGTGGGGTTTCGAAGTTTCGAACCTAGATCTACCCCGAGGCTTATTTTTAAAAACCGGTTTGATTTTTGGTAAAAGTAGGGGAGGAGCTTTTTAAAAATCTATATTAATCCCTTTATTTATTATATGGATATTTTATTCACTTATTTTTATTATTCATGTTATTATTATTATATGTATATATATATATATATATATATATATATATTAAATTATTTTCATTTGATTTTTTTACTATATTTTTTATTATTATTATATATTTATTTATTTAATATTTTACTTACAAGTCTAATATTACTATATATCTTTATCTAGTCATATATATTTTTTATACTTTTAATAGTTTATTTATATACATATTATTAAATATATATATTCTTAATTATTTTTATTTGATTATTTCTTTATTTATATAATATATCTTATAACTTTATATATTATATTATTTTTTATTATTTTTATTTTTTATTCATTACTATTATATTATTATTTTTTTAAAAAAACCTTGTGTCTGTATCATTATTATTATTAAACATTATATTATATACTACTAACCTAGAGGGCCCATTTTTTTGTCTTATTTCTTACTAAAGCCCCCCACTTTCGGTGAATTGGGAGGGTAGCTTTTCTATTTTTAAGTATTTGGTGTATATATATAGCTTATTTATTTTATTAATACTTTGATATATATATATATATATATATATATATATATATATATATATATATATTTATATTTTTTTCCTTTTTTCAAATATTATTATATATAATTATTACTTTACTATTTTTTTCTTATCTTATTTATTTTATTTTTCCATTGTATCTTATTTGTTTTCTTTACCTTGTTTATCTAACACATTTCTCGATTTTTTTTTTCAAATCAATCAAGGGTAAGTAATTAGGATCGAAACTTTACCTTTTAATTTAACTTGTTATTTTTCTTAATTAAGACAACTGGAAATTACGTAGTACCGAAAGGGCGGTTCAAGGGTGCTAATCCTTCCTTGACCGTAACCGACTCCCGAGCCCGACATATTTCTGGTAAGACGCAGATCAGGTAAGAAATAGGGTATCCGATCAACCCATTTATTTTTAAATAAATGATCGGTGGCGACTCCAATCCACATTTTTCAAGTCGAAGCCCAATTCCGGGGCCCAACCGAAAGACGGTTGCATCTTATGTATACATTTTAGAGCATCATTTTTTCCACATACATAGTTTTTGCAGCTTTTAGAGTCAAGTTTCGACTTCAAGACGAATGATACTCGAATCAAAAGCACCTTTAAAGATTGATGTTGGTTGCTTAACTCAGCAGCAAGAAGCTACACTTCAACCAATTTGACATATTGAAAGATCGACAGATCTTAGAATCAACTTCAGACGAGTTCGAGAGATAATTCAGAACCGATCCAGTTCGCATTTTCAAGTTGGATTTCAACTTCATGACGAAGGATATCCAATTCCTGGCTCAACTTCACGACGAAGGGGCCACCCACGATTTCAACTTCACGACGAAGGGAATCGTGCTCACTATTGTTTCTCTTGAAAAGTTTCCCTTGAAACAAACTTTGTCTCTCTTGAGAAAGTTTCCCTTGAAACAAAATTTTGTCTCCCTTGAGACAGTTTCTCTTGAAACATAAACATTGAAAACATTTCCCTTGAAATGAGTTTTGTCTCTCTTGAGATAGTTTCCCTTGAAACAAAATTCCGTCTCCATTGAGACAGTTTCTCTTGAAACATAAACATTGAAAACATTTCCCTTGAAATAATTTCGTCTCTCTTGGGATAGTTTCCCTTTAAACAAAATTTTGTCTCTCTTGAGACAGTTTCTCTTGAAATAAATTTTGTCTCTCTTGAGACAGTTTCCCTTGAAACAAAATATTTGAATATGTTTTCTTTGAAACAAATTTCATCTCCCTTGAGACAGTTTCTTTTGGAACTAAGTTTTGTCTCTCTTGAGACAGTTTCTCTTGAAACAAATTTCGTCTATCTTGAGACAGTTTCCCTTGAAACAAAATCTTTGAATTTATTTCCCCTAAAACAAATTTTGTCTCCCTTAAGACAATTACTCTTGAAACACAAAATCTTCAAATTTATTTCCCTTAAAACATAATTTTGTTTCCCTTGAGATCGTTTCTCATGAAACAACATATATCTTTGAGATCATTTCCCTTGAAACGAATTCTATCTCTTTCAAGACAACTTCTCTTAAAACATCATCTGAACCGTTACACTCAGCTCAGGCACATACTTGAGATGGTCGAGAAGCATTTCTCAAATCAAAAATAGAATGTGCACATCAGATTTGAACATTTGAAGAATTCAAGATCAGGGATCAAAATTTGAAGATTCAAGAATCAAGTTTCCAGACAGGCAACTGGAGATCGAGATTTCTCTCCAGAGCCCCAAGATAACATACGTTGCATATGCATTTTAGGCACACCTAAGAGCATTGCATCCATAGCATCACATATATGCATAACTTTTTCAGGTTTTAGCTAGAGTCAATTTCAACTTCGCGGCGAAGGATATTGAACTCAAAGCGACACAATTTGCTCGAGAGTGGATTTCAACTTCACAACGAAGGATATCTAGCTCGAAGCCAAACTTCACAATAAAGGGGTCTCCACGGTTTCAACTTCACGGCGAAGGAAATTGTGTCCACCCGCAACATACAATACTTGGATTTCAACTTCACGATGAAGGATATTCAAGTCAAGGCTCAACTTCACAACGAAGGGGCCATCCGCGATTTCAACTCCACGACGGAGGATATCGTGGCACTCGAGAAAACGCAAGTTCAACTTCACGACGAAGGGACAGCTGCTTGTCAACAACAACTTCTCAATTTCAGAGCCAATTTCAACTTCACAACGAAGGATATTGGACTTCAGACAACGCAAGTTCAACTTCACGACGAAGGGACCGCTGCTTGTCAACAACAACTTCTCAATTTCAGAGCCAATTTCAACTTCACAACGAAGGATATTGGACTTCAGACAATGCAAGTTCAACTTCACGACGAAGGGACCGCTGCTTGTCAACAACAACTTCCCAATCGCAGAGCCAATTTCAACTTCACAACAAAGGATATTGGACTCCATACAATGCAAGTTCAACTTCACGACGAAGGGACCGCTGCTTGTCAACAACAACTTCCCAATCTCAGAGCCAATTTCAATTTCACAACGAAGGATATTGGATTCCAGACAACGCAAGTTCAACTTCACGACGAAGGGACCGCTGCTTGTCAACAAAATTTCATTCAGATTCAATTTCAACTTCACAACGAAGGATATTGGACTCGAGACAACACAAGTTCAAATTCACAACGAAGGGACGACTGGTTGTCAACAAAAAATTTCCCGGTTCCAGAGCCAATTTCAACTTCACGACGGAGGATATTAGACTTGGAACAATGCTACTTACTTGGATTTCAACTTCACGACGAAGGATATCCAACTCAAAGAAGGATTATTTGCCATCAAAATTGTCGAGTTCGACTCCATTCAGCTCGATGACACATCAATCGCACTACTTTCCGGTTGCAGTCGAGGTTTTCAAGTCGAGGAGAGGACCTGGGTTAGCCGTGCCTTAGTGACAAGCAAACATTTTCAAACAGCATAGCTTAAGTCAAGAAAAAGCTATCTGTCAATGAAGATTTCTCAGTTCTATTTCGATCCAAGGTCTTTAAACCGAGAAGAAGACCGAAGGGTAACGGGAAGCCACGTGCTGATTCAAATTCCGAACTACGGCTTTAATTTCATATCATTTCAAGATGAACTCGACTTCACGATGGAGGAGTCATCCGTAACTCAATTCGACATGGAGTTATTGAAACATCAGAGTTAATTTTCAACTCCACTGAACGAAAAGTGTGTCTTTTAATCTTTGCCCTATCCTCGTTACACGACTATGGGCAAAGAAGGGCAGCTGTCAACACACATTTTTCGTCCTACTAGGATTCAAACTCTAAAAATAGGATAGAATTTTAGGATTCAAACTCCTAAAGATATGATAGAATTTTGCTAGGATTCAAAAAATAGGATAGAATTTTATGATTTAAACTCCTAAAGATAGGATCCACAAGCACTATAAATAGTCATTGTAACTCACCATTGTAAGACACGATTTACACACAAAACATAGAGGAAAGCACGAGAAGATACAAAGGCAAAGCTATTGTAAACGATTCGAAAAATAAATAAAAGGTAGTATCTTTTTTTACTTTTGATTTGGTCTCTTACATTTACGTTTTAATTATTATTATTTTATTTATTTAACTTTATTTATAAGCACATTTCCCTTGTTACTCATTTTATTTAATTGTTTTGTTATTTTTCTTTTCTTTTTTTCATGTAATATTTTTTTTACATTTTATGTATTTTCTTTTTTACTTTAGTATATATTTTTATTTTTTTTAGATTATATATATAATATATATTTTTATTATCAGTTTTATTAATTTATATATATATATATTTACTTTTTTATTTTTTATTTTATATATATATTATTTTTACTTTTTTATTATTATTTTATTTATTTGTTTTATTTCTATATTTTTATTTCTTCTTTTTCTTCTTTTTCTTTATTTTTTATATTTATTTTACTTACTATTTTATCTTTGTTTTCTTTATCTTATCTTTTATTTAATTTGTTTTCTCTTTATTTTAATTTAATTAATTTATTTATTTCTTACCTTTTTATCTATTACATTTTTATCTAACATGGTTTTTTGACCTTCTTAAGGCCACACCTTTAAAACTATCTAAGGTAAGTAATTGTGATCGTATTTTTACCTTTTAATTTTAAATTATAATTTTCTTAATTTAAGACAACCGGCAAATTACGTAGTACCGAAAGGGCGGTTCAAGGGTGCTAATCCTTCCTTGACCGTAATCGACTCCCGAATCCGACATATCTTTGGTAAGACGCAGATCAGGTAAGATATAAGGTATCCGATTAACCTATTTATTTTTTAAATAAATAATCGGTGGTGACTCCAATCACATTTTTCAAGTCGAAGCCCAATTCGGGGCCCAACCGAAAGACGGTTACGACAAAATGAAAGAACATAAACGGATGAATGTAAACAGACTTAAACGAACATAAACAAATACAATAAACGAACATAAACAAACATGCATAATCATAACAAATGAACATAATCGAAAGCAATAAACGAACATAAATAACAACTAAAATAACCACAAAAAATTCATTATTCATTAATATAACCTACAACTTCATAGTTAAAATTATTTGGATTTTAAATGGGTATAATTTATATTTTCTTTAGTTGATTTGAGTTTAAAATTTATTTGGGTTTTAAAATATTAATAATTGGATCTTAATATTTTAAATGAGCGTGGAGATTGAGCTGCATATAAACGAACATACACGGACATAAATGAATAAACATAAACGGATATTGATAGTGGAAACACTGCATCTCTTATGAAGTTGCAGGATTACCTATTTTTATATCGAAGATGAAGATTTGCAGGCTTTCATAAAGATGGAACGAATTTTCAATCATGCTTATGATTAGAGGTTTACTTTAATATATAGGTTTACAAATAATTGAAAAGATTGAAGTAGTAAATAATAGGTGGAAAATGACATCAAAGCAAAGCATGCTAATAACTGAACAAAGGCAAGTCCAACTGCTAACCAGTCATATTTATTCTTTATCCATAGCACTAACTTTAATCAAATAAAATTAGACTTAATCCTGTGAATTGTATTCAACTCCTACCTGTCTATCCATAGGTCTAACCCATTGTCATAAATTTAGCAACTACATGACAAAATTGCATATGGATGGCAATGGCATGGGGAGATGCCCGCCGATTACTATCTCATTGCCATCTAACTTTCACACTGTTTTTTAACCCAATGGCAAATGCCATCTTTTCATAGTTTTTGTGCCCCTTAGAATCTCAACTCGCAGGCGCACTATGCTTGTATTTATCTTGTAATCTGCAGCCTTTTGTGCAGGCCTTTCTACAAACTTTACACCATTTTCATTGCTCAATCATATCAAATTCAAAGCCATTACTGCTGTCCTTTTCATGATGTCTGCACTACGCAGCTATTTCAACACTTCGTATCTTTCAAATATGTATTATATATACGTGTAGTTAAGTGGTAGTTGAGGTTCTTCTTAGACACAAAGAAGGGTAGATAACACAGTGAGCCACATACAATCTCCTCCTCTCCCTTTCTGATTATATACAGCCATTACAGGATCGAAAGAAATTCGATACAAGCTCCTGCAGGAAGATCGGGCGGTTAAAATGGAAGACAATGTGCCCCCTAAGAGATCAGAGTTCAACAAGGGAGCATGGACGGCTGAAGAAGATAGAAGATTGGCTGAGGTTATTGCAGTTCATGGTGCTAGAAAGTGGAGGACAATTGCAAACACTGCAGGTAGTCACTAAGTGAATTAATATCGTATGGGTTTATGTAGGTGTTTGATTTTTTTTAATCTTTTTCTATGGTGTAGGTTTAAATAGGTGTGGCAAAAGTTGTAGGCTGAGATGGATGAATTATCTTAGGCCTAACATCAAGAGAGGAAATATAACAGACCAAGAAGAGGACTTGATACTTAGGCTTCATAAACTCCTCGGAAACAGGTTAATTTCATTTCGATGAATCTTGCAATATTATCTTCCAGAGTTGATTATTAATGGATTACTTTTCCATTATGCAGGTGGTCTTTGATAGCAGGGAGATTACCAGGGAGAACAGATAACGAGATCAAGAACTACTGGAATTCTCATTTGAGAAAGAAAGTGAACCAGAACGAGAAACAAAGTGGAGCTTCAACAAGACAAGGCTGCAATGCTCAAAAGAGACTAGTGGAGAATGACAAAGAACAGGGTAGAGAAGAGAATACATCTCCAGGATGCGAGGACTCGAATATCAACTTCAATGTGGACGAGCTCTTCGATTTCTCCAACGAGGACACCCGCATCTTGGAGTGGGTGAGCAGATTTCTCCAAGTTGATGAGGCCTTTAACTGAAACATTATGGAACAGCAGCAACTTTTGTCTTTATAATTTCCTATGATTCGGGAATTTGATGCAATCCGTGTTAATCTGTAAAGCCTTGTTATCCTTCAATGAATCGGGCAGCATTCAGGTAATTCTGTAAGCCTAGTTGCTGAAATAGGGACACTACATCGCAGACGCTCGTGATTGGTGTTAATCAGTATATCAAAAAGTAGAACAAAATAGGAGAAAACAGAAAGGAAAAGGCAAAGAACTGAGAAGTAGATTGGTAAGGCAACTGGGGAATACAGGAAAACAACCAACTATAAACATATTATATATTAAACCAATAGTTCCCGGAAGGCCATAGAGAAAGGAGATTCTTTTCTTAAAATTGGCTGGAAAGAAAGGAAAAGAGTGAAAAGGATCATCTGATGAGACAAAAGGGTTCATGGAATTTACCTACTAGTACCCATTGAATCCATAACTTTTACCTAGTAGCGTATGTAAAGTGGGATTTTTACACTCTTATTCTATTGATACATGATGAAACACCAAACAAGAGCTAAACAACATGAGTTTTTGACAAAGACGAAGACTGTATTGTCTTGTTTTAAGCCTGACAACTTTTCCATATTCCCCCACTTTTTTGAAACATACATATATAGCCTCAAAATGTCCGGAAAGAAACAGTCCTGCTGCGACTTAAACCCCGTGGTGTGGTGGGAAACCATTGTCCTATTATTTCCACTCCAACCTTCTGAAAATTACTCATCACTTTGTCTCTTCTCCACTCCTGTTTTAATGCCATGTGAATTCAGATTCTCACACCCGAAACTCAACAAAGACTCTGTCAAATGACAAAAAGCTGCGAGTGGGCAGGGTCAACTTAAGAGCGACATTATAATTCAGATGACAAATGAAGGCTAGTAGGCCCATTTATCCGGTCGGTGTTTGCATTAGATGCTTCATCGGCCCTATATTGAGCCTACAATTTCATACCTAAGCCCAGACCCGTTAATACACTAAAACCTTTTTTCTGTCATCGCCTTTAAAATACATAAAATATATTGAATTATAAAAAAATATCAAAAATAATAAATATATTGAATCAAAATATAAAGACATGAAAGAGTTATAGTATTAATAATATTTTAATTTAATTAAAAAGTTTATTTTTTCAAAAAAATATATAACCAAAATTAAAATAAACTCATTAATATGGTAATTTGTTTTTTTAATTTGTCCACTTAATCTAACAATCTTCATTCAGATATTATATTATATCCGGCAAATCAAATACTCCTACGTGCTAAAAAGTACTACAGCAGCCAGCAGAGGTGAGGATATAAAAAAAAAACCCCAGAAATTTAAGGGAAACAATTATGCCAGACTGCCTTAGGCTTGCCTGTCTTTAAAATCTAGAGAAAGAGACAAAATAGGAGAGAGAGAGAGCGCTTGCCTGTGTTTAAGAGAGAGGGGGGAAGCAACAAAAACGTTCATAGTAGTGTCTCTAATTAGAGCATGTGCATGTCAATCAAAAACCTTTCATTCTTATATTCTCTTTCTTTCTTGGTTTGATGATTTCAGGGCCTCTGTGTGTTGAATTGAGTCTGATCTAACCTCTCTCTCCCTCTCTCGATCTGGCTCAGGCATCTCCAGAAGCTGAGAAGCATTACAATTATCCGTTCCGATATTTTCTTTATTTCTGGTCAGAATCCTAATCCCATATTTTTGCTGCAAATAGTTTCCAATCCCTCCTTTTGTCTTCTCGCTCGACATGTCTTGTGGTTTCAAGGTAAGAAATAGAAAATGCATATCGACCCAGATTTTGTTATGCCATACTTGTTTTAGTGGTATTTTTTGGTTGATAAAATAACTATACATTTACCTGCTTTTTAAGTTCTTTTTCCCTTTCCATCGTTTTTTTGGGTTGCAACTCTATATTTGGAACAACAGCTAAAGGAATTGCTTCCTGGTTCCTTACTCTTCCATTTTTAAAACCAATTTTTTTCCTGTCTCCATCCCATTTTATTTTTAATGATGTCTTCCTAGATTTGGATATATAATTTTGTGGGGGGTTTGGTTTAAAAAGTTGCTTTTTATGGGCAAAGCAGTGTTTTTCCCCTTTTCAAACACAAAATTAAAACCAAATTTCTGCTTGTGTGCGCTTAATTCGTTGTTTCTTATGCGCACACACTCTTAATTTCTGCTAGGTTGCTAAGAGATGCGGAGAAATGCAAAGGATAATCTTTAAGCAGTAATTTTATCTAAGCAAAACTGTTAAAATCTTTGACTCAACTTCCTCCGGTGAGATGTTCTGCCTCCTATAATACAAATTAGAAATGTATTGTCTTAAAACTTTGGTTTATCTTTCTTTTGCTTTCATTTTCTTCACAACCAAATAGAGACCATATCGTTCAATGCCTTTCCATGTTGCATTTATTATTTTCTTGCAATAATGAGTGCCACTATAACATTTTTCCTTTCATATGTCCTAATTCGGATGTGCATTATTATTGTTGTTGTTATGCAGGAAGAAGTCTGGTCTTGATTGAACTGAACTGTGGAATGGAAGGTGGTATATATCCAGGGTTTGGTAATGGAGCTCAAGCGGATGGCAAGGTTTTGCAGACTTTCCAAAAGAGTTTTGTGCAAGTTCAAGGCATACTAGACCAAAACAGGCTGCTAATCAACCAGATTAACCAAAACCATGAGTCAAAGATCCCAGATAACCTGGGCCGGAATGTCGGGTTAATTAAAGAGTTGAACAACAATATTAGAAGAGTAGCCGATCTCTACGCCGATCTCTCCAGCTCGTTCAGCAGATCGATGGAGGTTTCATCCAAAGGAGATTCGGCCGGGACACATGAACCTGATGGAAAAGCTAGTCAGAAGAGAATTAGATCTGGGTAAATTTGATCAAGCTAAGCCATTTGTTATAAAATTGTATTATCTTTCACTGTGGAATAAGGGGAGCATTTTGATATTGTAGTAAAAGAAACGAAAGGTTGATAATACATGAAATGTGTCTGCGATATTGAAGTTTGAACATAATCCTCACACCCCCACTTTTTAGATTGAAACATCCTATAAAATTTACCATTGTAGTGATGTACAACTATGCTATATTGTCTGAAATCAAAGCATTGTTTAACATCAGTGGATTTTCTTCCCTTTTTGTTTAATAAATGAGACAGAGTAATCTTATTTGTACTTGGTCTGCATTTTTAATTGTTTGTTCAACGAGGCTAGTGTGATTGCTTAACCGTCACTAAACACATAATAGCATTTTCTAGTTTCCAATGATCTTCTTTTATTTTCATCTGTTAAGAGAGTTGATCTGCCTTTGATGGGAACTTTCAACAACCACCCTTTATTCTCCTCCCATGTCTGTCAAAAGAGATTCTTGATTGCTTCTGGAAGATTGCAAGAAAAGGGTTGGTGCCTACTGTTTTTATAATATCTTTTTTGGTAGATTCTTTAAGTTTAGATTCATGATTCTCTTCTATGGATACAACTTTTCATTAGCACTTGTATTTAACATTTATGTCCAGTGCATATATGACATAGTAAATGTGAAAAACTCCCTTTTTTTCCTGGCATCTTCAATGGTTCATAAGTTAAAAGTAGATTTTGTAGTTTTGGATAAAAAAGGTGGAGATCAATTATGATTTTTGTGACAGCAGGGACAAAACCAGACGGAAACTGTTTGAATTATGTGATCATAATAGATGAATTTGATACTATACAACTTATTTTAATTAGCTTCTTCATAACAATAATGGGTTAAGCCTTTCTGGTCATATTTAAAAGAGAAGGGGGGTTAGATAGTGGATCACAGATGTTATCTTTAGTCCTAAACCATAAATTACATGTGGGAGTAATCTATATTTAAAAGAAAAATTAGGCTGATTAGCACTCAATAAATTATATTCCGAAGATAACATAGTTTTCTAGTTTTTCTGCTTTGTGAAAGACAACAAAAGGAATCTAAGGTTTTGTGTGTGTGTGTGAGTGGAAATGATAGGATGTAAGAAGAGATGAGAAAGGATATTTTTTTTAATTATATATATTTTAAGCATGGGATTCATGATTTTTTTTTTGGAAGTGCTGGCCATGTTATGTACAATATATATATATATATATATATATATATATATATATATATATATATGTATATAAATCCGGTTCGCTTAAGCTGGATTTTTTATTAAACAATAGAAGTTCAATCTTCAAATAACAATTGAAGACGTATGGGGTATGGAGGACAAGTCAACTCTCCACGTGAAGTGGAGGAATCACACAATAAAGAATGTAAGATGGTGTCCGTACTCCATTGTATCCCTTTTATGTTTATGTTCTCTTCCATTTTTTAGTTACTTTTTGCACTAAAAGAAGAGATAATATTTGTTAAACGTTGGCATATTATATTATCGGAAGCAGATGAGTTTTTTTAATAATATTTAAAGCAATTCGTAACGTTTAGATCTACCCTAGATCATGTCCATTGCTGCTCCAACATCATGCTTTCATTTTTCTTTTATCATGCAACAACCCCTCACATATGGACTGTATCTACTATTTCAACATCCCAGAAGAATGAAAAACATGTTGAAACATGAACCTCTCATGAAATTCATCATAGCTGGTGTAGTGGAAATCTTACAGTTTGCCCTCAAAGTCAGACATTTATACTGGTATGAAAACTACAAATATAAAATTTCAGAAGACCAAACTTCAATACAAACTTTTGTAGTTCAGTTGCAGGCAAGTGGATTTTAATAATGACCAACTAACTGAAGACATCATCGGAAAAGAACAAACAAGTGGATCAAGGCAGCTACGGCTCTGTTTTCTCAATCAATCTGGTCAAACACTCTTTCCAATCTGAAACCTTCTCTCCTCCATTGACGACCTATTTTTCAGAGTAAAGTTGTAGATATCAATAACTAATTGAAACCAAAGGATGGGTAGGAATATAAGACAAATGGCAAAGAGAACACAAAAGAGAAAAAAAAAGGTGCTTTGAAACTGATGTTTTTGCATGAATAATTTGCTTATTTGTTCCATTGCTTTTCTTGCATTGCCTTTTGAACGGTTCTACTTCACCTTGTACAAATTTCTTTGTTCCCGTGTCAATTCAGACATCATTCTGTTGATAACTTTTCTTTTGGTTTTAATGAGTATATATATATACTTGTTTTCAAGTAATTTTTAAACTAAAAGTCTATCATACACGAATTCTTTAGTTTCTATTCATATTCTGGCATGTGTACGACACATTTGGATATGGTATGGGGCATGAGGGTATTATCCTCTAAATATAAGGGAAACCTTAGAATAATAGCAGTATATGACATATACTCTTCCTATTCTTAACTCAAATTCAAATAACATAAACTCAAGGTACTCTACAAAAGCAACTTAGATTTTCTGCATTTGAAAGAGCAGCTTGTAGATAAATGACAAAGGATAAATTTGACACCACTAATCGCTATAGAATATCAAGATAGATAGTAGTGGGATGAAAAACGACAGTCACCTTGAATAAAAGGATGAAAAATGACAGATTCGCCTTGAAATTTTGACTAGAAAGTGGCAGTGGGATGAATTATAAAGAAAATAATTAGATATTGCATGTGTACTTTCCCCCCTTAATAGATGTAGACATGATTATTCATAGACCTCAAATGTGAATCTTGCTTCTGGAACTACTTCAAGCGCTTCCACACATACCAATGCAGCATCCTCCATGCTGAGTCTTCCACTTGCTGCAGAACCCTGACAATGGTGGCATTTGTAGGAATTGTTAGAATCTATTACAACGAATAAGGTTGCTTTTCATGCTCTCAAAGTCAGCGAACATATTTATTCCAGTTAACTGCAACAAGACTAAGGAGGAACACCATAAAGTAAGTATCATGCTTGCTCTATTAAAAGAATAAAACCTTGTGTTCCACCGTGTTCCACCAGGAGTGCTTTGCAACTTTTTTGCTCTAATTATGGTATATGGAATTCGTGAAGCTATCAGTGCTGATTCATCTTCCTCAGCTATCAAAAGAATAAAATGATTTAACACCATAAAGTTGAAACCTAGTGTTCCACCGTGTTCCACCAGGAGTGCTTTGCAACTTTTTTGCTCTAATTATGGTATATGGAATTCGTGAAGCTATCAGTGCTGATTCATCTTCCTCATCTAACTTCCTTTGATTGCTTGTCATGATAGCTTGAATGCCACTGCTAGCTCTATAAGCAGACAACTGCAACCTTTCTAAACCACAATCACATAGAAATAGTCTAAAGTCTTTCTTTTGCATATAAGGGAAGAGCGAGAGCGAGAGAGAGTACCTGAGACAAGAGAACTATATGTTCAACACCTTTGAAGCTCTCCACACTGTTGCGGAAGAAGACTATCGGATAGAGAAAAATCGCAACTGATAATTTGAGAAAATAAAAATGAAGATAAAAGAGACATAAAATTTACGTGGAAAACCCCTGAATAATATAGGGTAAAAACCACGGGCAACGGTAGAAGAATTTCACTATGAGAAAATAGGAATTACAACCTCTCTCGATCTACCAAGGAGAAAACAATGATAATTCTCTCTAGATAAAAAGGAGAAAACAACTCTGAAGAAACTCTCTAAAATCTCTCTAGTATTGGAAGAAAGCTAGAATGCTTTGGGATAATTTTGAAGCTAAATGAGCTAGGGTATTTATAGTTGAAGCTTTAAGGACTAACTTGTAAATACCCTAAATTATAATGACTAAATTATGCTTATACCATTTAGCAATTTCAACAATTGTGTGCTCCTTTTGACCATTGCACCGAATTGTGCATTAATGCACCGTTTTCGGTGCTGACTTTTAACAATCTCTCACTTGAAGATTTGATTGGAACAATCATATCTTCACACCATTCTTTCTACCTTGTACCATCATGTTGCTTACGTTTCTGACAGGACACAAGAGGATCGACACCAAGTAAATTTATCAGCATTGATCACCTTCGTCATGAAATCTGCTATGTTGTCTTTGGTATAGATCTTCTGCATATCTACCGTCCCTTCTTCCACCTTTTCACGAATGAAATGGTATTGAACTCGTATGTGTTCTGTCCTTGAATGAAATGATGGATTCCTTGCTAGATGCAAGGCACTTTGACTGTCACAAAACAGAGAGACAAACTCTTGATTGTGCCCAAGTTCCTCCAATAGCATCTTCAACAAAATTGCTTCTTTACTGGCTTGTGTAGCTGCTACATATTCTACCTCTGTTGTAGATGTACCCACAACTGACTGTAATTTTGAAACCCAGCTTACAGCTCCACCATCAACTTTGAACACATATCCTGTAGTAGATTTACTTTTATCCAAATCCCCTGCATAGTCAGAATCGACATTCCCATTTATAAGTAAGTTTGATCCTCCGAAACATAATGCAACATTTGAGGTCCCTTTGATGTATCTTAGGATCCTCTTTACAATATTCCAATGCTCTTTTCCTGGATTCGCCATGTACCGACTAACCACTCCCACTGCTTGTGCAATGTATGGTCTTGTGCATATCATAGCGAACATTAAACTTCCCACTGCTGATGCATACGGTACTCGAGACATCTCCATCCTCTCTTCTTCACTGCTAGGACTCATACTGGAGGATAATTTGAAGTTAATAGGAAGAGGGGTAGAAATTGGCTTACAATCTTACATGCTAAATCGTGATAAGATTTTCTTCAAGTAATTCTTTTGTGAAAGCCAAATCTTCCTATTACTTCTGTCTCGGTGAATTTGCATCCATAGAATCTTGTTTGCTGATCCCAAGTCCTTCATTTCAAATTCCCTAGCCAGTTGTGCCTTCAATTCTTCAATATGATCTTTGTTGGGTCCTGCAACCAACATGTCATCCACATACAACAGCAAAATAACAAAATCGTTATCACCAGACCTCTTGAAATAAGCACAAGGGTATGCATTAAGTCTGTTGTATCCAAGGCACATAATGAAAGAATCAAATCTCTTATACCAACACCTCGGAGCCTGCTTTAGACCATACAGAGATTTGTTCAACCTGCAAACCAAGTTCTTTTTTTCTTTTTCTTCAAAACCTTCAGGCTGGAGCATATAAATTTCTTCTTCAAGATTTTAATGAAGAAAAGTTGTTTTAACATCTAGTTGCTCTAGATGTAAGTCTAATGTAGCACACATTGCCAAAACTACTCGAACTGTTGTTAGTCGAACCACAGGAGAAAATATTTCATTGAAATCAATACTTTCTTTTTGAGCATATCCTTTGACCACCAGTCTTGCACGATACCTCTCAACTTGATCGTCATCATTTCGCTTGATTTTGAAGACCCATTTGTTACCAATTGGCTTCCTTCCTTGTGGTAGTGGCACAAGGTCCCATGTATTATTTTTATGAAGGGCTTCGATTTCTTCTTGCATCGCCATCATCCACAATGAAGCATCTGAACTGTTTATTGCCTCCTAATATGTTGATGGCTCACCGTCTTATGTTAAAAGACAGTATGCAACATTTCCTTCTATAACATAATCTGAGTGCCAATTGGGACGTCTTCTCACACGATCTGATTGACGAGTTGTTGGAGCTTCAGAACTCTCTGGTTCTTGTTCATCATGTGCTGGTTTTGCTTCAGAAGAATCTCCTTGTTCAAACTCCTTTTCCACATGTATCTGTGTAGTCTCTGACTTTTCAGCGCTGTCATCATCTTCTTTTCTTTGTTTGTAGCTTATCTTCTACAAAGATAACATCCCTGCTAATGATCACTTTGCGGGCAGTGGGATCCCACAAGCGATACCCCTTTACTCCATCAGCATACCCCAAGAATTTGCATTTTCTGGATTTTGGATCCAGCTTTGAAATTTCTTGGGCGTTGTACATCACGTACACAATACTTCCAAATACATGGAGGTTTGAATAATCAACTGGTTTACCAGTCCACATCTCCATTGGTGTCTTCAGCTCTATTGCAGTTGATGGAGCTCGATTCACCAAATAACAGGCGGTATTGACTGCTTCTGCCCAGAATGATTTTTCTAGGTCTGCGTCCCTCAACATTGCTCTTGTTCTTTCTAACAAGGTTCTGTTCATCCGCTCTGCCACTCCATTTTGTTGAGGAGTGTTCACCACTGTGAACTGTCTTTTGATGCATTCTTTCCTATAAAAGTCATCAAATTCTTCGCTTGTGTATTCTCGTCCATTATCTGTTCTGAAACACTTGATCTTATTTCCAGAATCAAGTTCCACCCGCGCTTTGAAGTTTTTGAAAGTTGAAAACACGTCTGACTTCTTCTTAATAGGGTGTACCCAACATCTCCTGGAGTAGTCATCAATAAATGAGACAAAGTATTTTGCTCCACCTAGGGACGTTACTGGTGCTTGCCATACGTCAGAGTGAACCAATTCTAGAACAATTTTTCCTCTAGAATTTGATGTGTTGAATTTCAATCGGTGCTGCTTACTTGTTATGCAATGCTCACACAAAGGAAGTGATACCTTTGTTAAGCTTGGAAGTAGCTTTTGCTCCACAAGGACTTTCATTCCTTGTTCTGACATGTGTCCAAGTTTTTGATGCCATAGCATTGCCGAATCTGAACTACATGAGGCAACAGAGGCTTCTGCTTCTAGCAAAGTCTCTCCCTTCAGCATGTACAAGTTTGCTGCTATCTTTTCGCCTTTTAGCACCACAAGCGCTCCAGGGAACACCTTCATGATTCCTTTTCGTGTTTCAATCTTGCTAGCATTATTATCCAACAATCCGTAGGATAATAAATTTTTCTTCCAACCTTTCACGTGTCGCACATCTCGAACAACTTTAATTGTTCCATCATACATCTTCAATTTGATGGTTCCCACGCCAACGATCTCTAAGGCATGATCATTGCAACTATACACAGATCCTCCTGAGACAGGTTCATAATGATGGAACCATTCTCTTCTTGAGGTCATGTGATATGTTGCTCCCGAATCAATGAGCCATATATCTGCAAATCGTTTTCTTCCTTTCACGGTAGTTGACGCTTCACAGCATAGAGCATCTCCATCATCTAAAGTGTTTGCGGTATTGCCTTGTGGATTGGAGTTTTTATTTAGACTCCAACAATCTTTCTTCAAGTGACCCTTCTTTCCACAGTTGTAACACTTTAAATTCTTCTTGCTTCTCGACTTCGATCTACCATGTTTGTGACTGCTGCTTTGGTCACGTTCTGTTGATCTCCCTCTCATCGTTGTCATCGTTGTCAAAGCTTCTGCTTGTTGCAGATTTACTTGTTTGTCTTCCTTGTGCTTGCGCCGATTTTCTTCTTGTAGAACAGCAGCTGCAACGTCATCGAAGACTAGACTGGTGACATTACTGTTTGTCAAGTTGATGATGAGTTGATCATATGAATCCGGTAGACTTTGAAGTAGAAGTTCAGCATGTTCTTGTTCTCCTATTTTACAACTTAAGGATGTAAGCTGAGAAAATAAAGTGTTCAGTGTATTTAAGTGCTTCGTCACTGAAGTAGATTCTGGCATACGGAGAGTGTACAATTTTCTCTTAAGGAAAATTTTATTGTGCAACGATGTGGCCTCGTACAGTTTGGTGAGATGATCCCATATCTCCTTAGCTGTCTTCTTCTCCTCGATACTTGATAATACTTCATCTGCTAATGCTAGATGAAAGTTTGCCATAGCATTTCCGTCCATTTCGATCCATTTGTTGTCGTCTGTGAAATCTACTGGCCTTTCGCTGATAGCTGCTAGACAACCGTATTTCCTCAGGATGGCCTTAATCTTCAATTTTCACAATGAGAAATTTCTCCCATTGAACTTTTCAATATCAAATTTCGTTGTCATTTCTTCGTTTACGGATAGCTCCCACTATTTCACTATCGTGAATAGTTCTCTGGAACCTTCAAAGAATGGGTAATAACTTCTTACTTTCTTATGTTGGAGGATCCACCTTTTGGTGGCAACCACAAAGACAATAAGCAGATATTACACACTCTAATCTAGCTCTGATACCAATTGTTGCAGAAGAAGGCTATCGGATAGAGCAAAATCGCAACTGATAATTTGAGAAAATAAAAATGAAGATAAAAGAGACACAAAATTTACGTGGAAAATCCCTGAATAATATAGAATAAAAACCACGGGCAACGGTAGAAGAATTTCACTATGAGAAAATAGGAATTACAACCTCTCTCGATCTACCAAGGAGAAAACAATGATAATTCTCTCTATATAAAAAGGAGAAAACAACTCTGAAGAAACTCTCTAAAATCTCTCTAGTATTGGAAGAAAGCTAGAATGCTTTGGGATAATTTTGAAGTTAAATGAGTTAGGGTATTTATAGTTGAAGCTTTAAGGACTAACTTCTAAATACCCTAAATTACAATGACTAAATTATACTTATACCATTTAGCAATTTAAACAATTGTGTTCTCCTTTTGACCATTGCACCGAATTGTGTATTAATGCACCATTTTCGGTGATGACTTTTAACACACACTTGATAAGAAACCTTCCTTCAAGACAAGACAATACAAAATTTACAAAATTTCAATGGCGGCCAGAGAAAAACTAGCAATGTCAAAGCATTAGAACCGAATGGATGCATGATATGAACTTTCAAAACGACTTTGCAATAATTTGTTTTCATTATCTTAGGAAAATTGTGATCTTTATTTTGTTTAAACTCATTACATTTTCCCACAAATTTCAGCCTGAGTTTCACATTGAAGCACGTAAAATCTTCAAGTTTAACTTTTGCAAAACCACGTTGATTCTCCAGTTATCCATGTTTTTTTGTCCCTGTTTTTAAGGTCCTAATAACTATGGAAGATTATCCATAAAACAAACTATGGATGCACGTAGCATTTAGAGTGGAAAGGACCATAAACTGGCTATAGATAGCAGATAATCATACATTAATATGCTGGTTTAGCAGGAATTCACATACATTTGGGCATATGATTGCACGAACTCCTCGAAGAGCTTTCTTTATGAGTATCTTGTATCTCCGGATATTGACTGCAGACACAGCAGAACCACATTCGTATATAAGAAAAAGAATTATTAAAATTAAACCGATGACATGTATCATATCATATATATAAATGCCCTTCTAGAGGTTACTTCATTTAGGATATATGAAGTTACCTCAACATAATTTCCAAAGGCTTCGTTAGCTGAACGCTTATCCTTCATTAATGCTTTTACTTTAATTCGTTTGACAATCAATGATAATATCACCATCTACACAGATAAATAGGTACAATAAGCTCAATTGGCGCAACCAGTAAGAATTCAAGAGACAAGAAGAAAATAATCCGGGCTCAGCAATACATATTCATGCTCGGTTAAGTGGTTTGAATAATATTTACGATATGGAATATGATATATATAAGAAAAGATAACTTGCCTGGCTAATTTCATTATCCCCATCCGTTACTAAAACTGCATCCCTGATTTCATCCTCTGAAAATTCAAAGAATAATAGTTCATCAATGGTTCTTCCCCTCCAAGAACTATACATACTGATATTATCTTTCCAGTTTCCATAAGAAATTACCTGGATGATCCTCCTCCTGATCTTCCACGAGTGATCCATCTTTTGGCAGTAGTTCAGGTGCTCCATACCACCTTCTTAACTTAGGACAACCAATGCGAAATCCCAAATAAATCAATATCGTAAAAGTGAGTATCTAGTCTAAAGCACATTGCGGAAATACGAACACTCAAAAAACCTTCAATATAATCGAGAATTTGATCCATGAATATGATTTTCTTCTTGGCCGAGCAACGAATAAGAGATCGCTTCCCGATGTTTATGAGGAAAGAAGAATTCAGGGCTCTCCATGGATTCTGGGAACCGAAAACTAATAAGTTTGGCAGCGGAGAGTGGAAGAAGAAAGAGTACACTCCATTTTCTTTTGATGGTTTCGGACTTTTTGTTTTATTTTGTTTTTTTTTTTATGAAATAAAGATGTAAGCTAGTACCTAATGTGCTACTGTTACAGTACAATCAAATGAATCTATTGTATTAAACTAAGTACTTCTGCAGGTGGAGAGTAGAAAATCGTATGATCATCGCCTCTTGGTGCTGCTAATCTTGCTAGTTTATCGGCCATTTTATTCGCATTCCGGTTAATATACCTCAAAGTAATCGTCTATTTCTGATTTAATAAAACACAAACCCGGTCCAGCAGAGTAAATACCGAATCTCTATTAGTGTTTTCCTGTAGCATCCGAATAACCTCCAAGCTATCCGTTTCAACTATGATTTGTCTTTCACCAAAATTCCACGCATGAGAGAGACATTCACGTATTCCCCTTAACTCTGCCTCAACGATATAGCATATTTGATAACCGTCATTTTGCTATCAAAATAATTCATGACTTCTTAAATAGAAAGGAAAAGCTAGTATAGAGAAGCATGGTCAATCCACAGGGACTATGGTTTTTATGATTTAATAAAATTATTTATTGATTTTAGAAAAAGATAGAATTCCAGGTAAAATTAAAAAGGTATAATAAATAATTATAAAAAATAAAAATAAAAATAATAAAATAATAAATATTAATAGTAATAAATATAAAAAGAGATTTTTAAAAGTTATTTTTAAAATAAAAAATAAGAATTAAATAAAAGAAAAATAATTAATAAAAAATTAAAGAGATTGGGATAAAGAGAAACTTATTGTGAAAGCAACATCAGACTTCAGCTTTGTCTCAAATTCCTCAGATCATCGAAACTGATTTTTACTTCAAGATTCACGTCGGTTACTGCAAGAACAATTCTTCGCTGCCAACTCGGATTGCGTTGTTTCAACAATAACTGATTCCGATCTCAGTTTCCTCTTAGCAAACAATTTTGCTAAGTGTGTTCTCGAGAAGTTGAATATACTTCAATAAGCAAATCCTTCTTCAAACGTTAACCATAACAATATCCGGACCAATGTCGAAATCGTTTTAATTTGAAAAGTAAGCTCAGAAAACAGAGAGAAAATCCGAAGCGATTTAAGTACCTTACAATTCTCACGTTTGGAATTAAGCCTTCGCTTTAGTCTTTGGCTTGAAAGAAAAATAGCTAAGCATAACCAAAGTCATACTTAGCATAATAGAAAAGTATGCGAAAAATAGAGAGAAACCTAGAGAGAAAAAGAAGATTTTATTCTCAAATGAGAGAGATATGTTTATAGGCTCACCCTTAGAGAGCATTTATAGCCTTCAAATTCCTAAAACAAACTAAAATATCTTAAATCCTAATTAAAACACTTAAAATTATTTAACTAAAATACATAAAAAAATAATATAATATTCTAAATCCTAATAAAAATATTAAACCCTATTTAAACTAAAATACCTAAAACAAATACAAAATATAAAAATAATATTCTAAAACTTAATTAAAATACTAAAATCTATTTAAACTAAAATAAATACAAAGATAAAATATAATGTTTAAATTATTATCCTAAACTTGAGTTTAATCCAAATCCGAATTCCAGCCAGCTTTGATTTCAAAAAAAAAATCTGCATAATTATGTCCTTTTTGTGCAATTTCTATAATCTTACGTCCTGTACAGAAAATGAATTAAAATGAACAAATAAGCCACAAAATCATTGATTAAGGAAAAATTTAAAAATAAAATATTAACTAAATTACGCACTTATCAAATTCCTCCTTACTTATTCAATGCTTGTCCTCAAGCATTCCTCAATTAACATATCAAAATCATTAGTTATCATCTTCAATTTCAATTTATTTCTTAAACTTCCAATCGAACTAAGTCCATGATATTTGTCGAATTCATGTTACAATCAAGCAAAGATACAACCAAGCAAAAATACAACCAAGAAAATTTAAAGTAAGGAAGATATCACAATTAATTGTCAATTTCAATGAAACATGACTCAAAACCTCACAAATATTCACATATATCCGCTCAAAGTGTTTGGGGTAAATGAAATCGCTCAAACCGAAACTAACCAAAATATTATCATAGGCTTGGAATCCAATCAAGTCTCCACTACGAAAAATGAACATAATGCAATAATCAAGGGGTCTTTAAACAAGGTGTAACGAGGCTTAGGTTAGGGTAGGGAAAAGGCAAAAAAGAAATGTTTAAAATACCGAAACAAGAGATCAAAATAATTAATAACAATCCACGAATTAACATGAAGCGTAATGAAGAACAAAACAAGGAAAAAGAATAGATGAAAGACAATTGAAGCTATCGATTTTTTCCTTCCTTTTTTTTAACAAAGGGTCTCTTTTTTCTTCTTTTTTTTTTGAAACATTGAATTTTTTTTCTTCGTGGAACAACAATGATACAAGATCTCAAGTCTCAGTAAGGGTGTGAAAAGAGAGGTAAAATAAAAAGAAAGGCTTCGGGTTTAATTATGAGGTGTAAAACAAAGAAAGAGAAATAGACTCAAACGTGGTTCACTAGTGGATATATAAACGGGTAAGCTTTTTGGGAAAAGTGGGTTTATCCTAGGTGCCCCTATCACATTAAAATATTACGTTCAACATGTAGTCTCAATATGCATTATGATTACAAGTTCTAGAATATCCTAATTAGTTCGGCACATACAAGTCAAATAATGAGCAAGAAAGAAAATGTATGCTCGTTAGGCTCAAATCTCACAAGAAAAGTTTATATGCATTGAGTCAAGTTCATCTCTATCGACAAAAGCATAAAATATCAATACTCAACAAAAAATTCACCAGCTATATCAATCACTAATCATGCAAATTAAATTCGATAAAAAAAACATGGTCATAATCCAAAAGGAAGCAAGAGTATAAAGTGAAATTCAAGACTAGCAACCAACGATACCAACATATCAACATCAGAATAACTCAATTTCAAACAATTAAACAAGTCAATGAAAATTTTGACACATGCTTATACTCCCCATCACTTATTTCGTTTTGTCCCAAAACGTATATCAAATTTAAAAACAGAGAGAGGGAAAAGGAATACTCCCCAATCTAGTGGCGATCGCAACCATGGTCATGTCGAGACGAGCTCGAGCGAAGGTAAGAAATATTCGATCAAAATTTGAATATGTTCAGAGAAAAATAAAATAAAATTAAGCATCTGATAAAATAAAATAAAATAAATGGAATGAAATAAATAAAATGAAAATAAAACGAAATGGGTTACCTCCCATCAAGCGCTTTTGTTTAACGCCGTTAGCTCGACGACCTGATTCAGACTATAGGTTTCAAGAGAAATACTTCCTCCACTTCATACGTCTTTTCCAACTAAGAACTTTCTTATGAGAAATTATATGATCGTATAATTCTTTTATTTTTGTCTTATAGATTTTGGTTTTCTCATAAGCTTTTCTTCGGATCTTTTTTAGCTTTGAAAGCTTATCCAAAATAATAACCGGTGAAGTAGCACTTTCTCCTAAAAAGACACTCTTTAAGTGTTTTGACATTTGTTTCAATTTTATCTCAGGTGCCTGCAAAACATAAGGTAAAATTTTAGTTTTAGATGAAGGTAAAAATAAATCAGAATTGATTGTATGAATATTTTCAAACTCTCTTTCTTCCTCTTCGTGGCAAAGTTCAGGATCCATGGAAAGATTAGATTTAATATATTCATCAATTTAAGGGTCTATAACATCAACATAATTAATTCTTTCAACATGATCATAGCATTTCATTGTTTTGTAAACATCAAATTCAACGATCTCACCATCAAATTTCATTATTAGTATGTCACTTCTAACATAGATCTTTGTATGTGCGGTGCTTAGGAAAGGTTAGCCTAAAAGTACTTCAGAATAAGTATCCGACCTATCATGTTCCATGTCAATGATATAGAAATCTACAGGAAAAAATAATACATCGACCTTCATTAAAATATTTTCCATCATTCGATAGATCACAGACCGATCAGCCAACTGTATGGTTACTCTCGTTTCCTTCAAAGGCTCGTTAGTAATAATTTTATAAATAGATAATGGCATAACGTTGATTAAAGCTCCTAAGTCACACATTGCACGTTTAATTTTAAAATCACATATTTTGCAAGGTATAGCGAACATACCTTGATCATTCGTCTTTGGTGGGAGTTTTCGTTGAAAAATTGCAGAGACATGTTCTCCCAAATTTACCTTTTCGTTCCCCATTAATTTCCTCTTTGTAGTGCAAAGTTCTTTTAAAAATCGAGCATACCTTGGTACTTGTTGAATTACTTCAAGAAGAGATATGTTAACTTGAACTTTTTGGAACACCTCGAAGATCTCATTTTCTTCAGCTCTTTTATCATGCTTCATCAACCTTGATGGGAATGATGGTGGCATGATTTCATGAGAAGAAAGAGAAGGATGTGAGTCAGACATATCATATATTTCTGGAGGTGGTGTTTCCTCTAGTTCTTTCTGATGTGCGTCTTTTTCTGCTGGAACTTCGGGTGAGATAACTTTTCCACTTCTGAGTGTGATGGCACTAACATTCTCTGTTGGATTTAACTCTGTTTGAGAAGATAGTCTTCCTTGTGATTCTAATTTTCCCATAGTTTGAGCTAGTCGGCTTACTTGGTTATCTAACTCTTGAAGATGTGTTTCGGTTCGGCTGTGAAATTTTTCATGGGATGTAATCAGCTTTTCTTGTGAAATTGCTAACTTTCATATGAGTTCCTCCAATGATGAGTTTTGTGTTTACTGTTGAGGAGGAGACCTTGGTTGATAAGTTGGTCTTTGATTTGCCGTATAGCTGAAGTTTGGATGGTCTCGCCATCCTGGATTGTGAGCATTACTGTATGGATTGTATTGTCTTTGTGGAGGACCTGAAAAGTTCCCTATGACATTGCTTTCTGTATTGCCTCCTTCTTGTATCAGTTTGCAGCAATCCGTCGAATGGTCTAGCTTTGTGCATATCCCACATGCTCTTGTTGCTCTAGATTTTCCAGCAACAAGTGAATTAACTACTTCAGTTAATTTATCTAACTTGTTTTCAAGAGAAAATGTACTTATCTCGTGAATCCGTTGGCTGAATTCACTTGAAAACTGTTGAGAGTTGGCTGCGATGGCTGAAATCAATTCCCTTGCTGTTGTTGGGGTCATGTTGACTAATGCTCCTCCACTGGCGGCATCTACCATTTTCATTTCCATTGGCAAAAGGCCTTCATAAAAGTATTGAAGCAACGTTTTCTCACTTAATCTGTGTTGTGGACAACATGCGCAAAGCATTTTAAATCGCTCTCAATAGTCATAAAGACTCTTTTCTCTTTTGTTGAATGGAAAGAATGCTTCTTCGTAACTCGCTTGCTTTATCCCCTGGAAAGAACCTGTCAAGAAAATTTTGATTCATGTCAGCCTATGAGTTAACTAAATTTGGAGGTAAATAAAATAACCAATCTTTAGCCAAATCGGCTAAAGAGAAATGGAAAGCTCTCAATTTAATTTGATCCTCATTAACTCCCTATGGTTTCATGCTAGTGTAAACCATGTGGATTTTCAACAAGTGTTTGTGCGGATCTTCATATAGAAAATTGTGGAAAGTGGGAAGAAGATGAATGAGTCCTGACTTTAATTGAAATGGAGTCTCGCCACTAGGAAAATTAATGCATAATGGTGTCTGAGTGACAGGAGTTATGGCTAGCCCTCGGATCGTTTATTCTGCCATTGGAATGTTGTATGTGTCTGCTTCAGAGTTTGGATTTGATTCTGCTTCTGAACTCTGCTCTAGTTCTTCTTGTCTTTTTCTCTTTTCTAAAAGCGTTTGTGCATGGATTCTTCGTGCTCGTGCTTCGATCTCCGGATCTAGACCTACTAATTCACTTGGGTTCCTTCTGTCATAAATAAAAAACTAGAAAAATAAATCAGTACTTGCCGTTGGTTCCCGGCAACGACGCCAATTTGATAATCGTCGTTTTGCTATCAAAATAATTTATGGCTTCTTAAATAGAAAGGAAAAGGTAGTATAGAGAACCATGGTCGATCCACATGGACTATGGTTTTTATGATTTAATAAAAATGTTTCTTGATTTTAGGAAAATATAGAATTCCATTTAAAGTTGAAAAGATACAATAAATAATTATAAAAAAAGGAAATAATAAAATAATAAATATTAATAGTAATAAATATAAAAGGAGATTTTTAAAAGTTATTTTTAAAATAAAAAAATAAGAATTAAATAAAAGAAAAATAATTAAATAAACAAATTAAAGAGATTGAGATAAAGGGAAACTTATTGTGAAAACAGCCCCATACTTCAGCTTTGTCTCAAATTCATAAGATCGTCGAAATTGATTTTTACTCCAAGATTCACGTCAGTTACTGCAAGAACAATTCTTCGATGCCAACTCGGATTGCGTTGTTTCAACAATAACTGATTTCGATCTCAGTTTCCTCTTAGCAAATAATTTTGCTAAGTGTGTTCTCGGTAAGTTGAATATGCTTCAATAAGCAAATCCTTCTTCAAACGTTAACCATAATAATATCCGGACCAATGTCGAAGTCGAATTGAGCCTTACAATTCTCAAATGAGAGAAAATCCGAAGCGATTTAAATACCTTACAATTCTCACATTTGGAATTGAGTCTTCGCTTTAGTCTTTGGCTTGAAAGAAAATTAGCTAAGCATAACCAAAGTCATCCTTAGCATAATAGAAAAGTATGCAAAAAATAGAGAGAAAGCTAGAGAGAAAAAGAAGATTTTATTCTCAAATGAGAGAGATTTGTTTCTAGGCTCACCCTTAGAGGGTATTTATAGCCTTCAAATTCCTAAAAACAAGCTAAAACATCTTAAATCTTAATTAAAACACTTAAAACTATTTAAACTAAAATACCTAAAAAATAATATAATATTCTAAATCCTAATAAAAATACTAAAACATATTTAAACTAAAATACCTAAAACAAATATAAAATATAAAAATAATATCCTAAAACTTAATTAAAATACTAAAACATATTTAAACTAAAATACAAAGATAAAATATAATGTTTAAAATATTATCCTAAACTTGAGTTTAATCCAAATCCGAATTCCAGCTAGCTTTGATTCCAAAAATAAAAAAATCTACAAAATTGTGTCTTTTTTGTGCAATTTCCATAATCTTATGTCATGTACAGAAAATGAATTAAAATGAATAAATAAGCCACAAAAATCAATGAATAAGGAGTAATTTAAAAGTAAAATATTAACTAAATTAAGCACTTATCAATATCCCTAGTACTTTAGCGAATCCAAGAATTCAACTACCATCTGAAGATCGAATAACGTCCCCACATGTAGCAAAATCATTTCCTGTTTTACGAGAGCCATCAGAATTAACCTTGCACCAATTAGTAGGAGATGGAGACCAATTCGTATGCTTATTACTCATTTGGTGAGAAGGTGGAGTCCTTTGCGAGGATGATTCGATTGGTCGGTACGCTTCGAAGCAAAGACGTCTTTCTTGTACTAAAACAGACTCTTTCTCAATGTATTCCAGATCAAAAATTCTTCTATTGCGATTCTTCCAAAACAACCAAAGTAACGATCCAAATAATAGGTCACATTCATCCCGTGCATAAACTCCCGGAGAAGCGATATTAATATGCATTCAATCTCTTATTTCCCTAGAGAAAAAAACATCTAATTTTTCAGCTTTAATTAACGTTGTCCAAACAACCATGGACGCATGACATGTTCGAAAAAGATGGTCTATTGTTTCCCCCGGCTACCCGCAAACTCCACAACAATTACTTGTTGTCAAATGCAGTCGGACTCGTTCCGTATTAGTTAATAGCCGCTCATTTGCTACTAACCACAAGAAGATTTTAACCCGTAGTATCCCTCGATATTTCGAAATCACTTCCAATACTTTATGCGGAATAGCATCGGAGGTTGCCTGTCTCATATCATACGCTGATTTTACCGAAAAATAGCGATCAATGTTCCACTTCCAACCTGGCGCATCATTCTTACCTCCTTTCCGTGTCGGCATCGTAGCTGCTAGTCTCTGTGTGATATTACTCGGAACAAAATCAGTTATTAGCTCCCATCGCCATTGTCCATTGCTGTCAACCATAGAAGCCACCGTCCTCCTTGGAAGTTCATCGCGCTCTAATTGATTAGCTACGAACATGTTTAACGGTCCACGTCACTAAGCCAAGAATCCCTCCAAAATTCTACACTCCGACCATTCCCAATGTTCCAAACTAAACTCTGCCGCACGTCACTCCACACTTGAGAGATTCCTTTCCAAACATGCGAACATCTCTTGCTGTCGATTGACTCGGGTAGTTCATTCCTCAATTTATACTTGGGGCGCAACACTCCGCATCCGAATGAATGCTCAGGCGGTGATCTTGATGGGGATCAGTTTTTCATAAGCTGGGACAAAGACCTCATCCCATGTCAAAACGATCCCCCAATGGACTACACGGAACAAAGACCTCGAATAATGGACCATGAGGTAACCTTGAAGGAAATTCAAAAGTTCTTCGTTGATTACATGATCAATGATACTTTGGGTGCCATTTCTACTGCACATTTAGTGCATGCTGATCGAGAACCTGACAAAGCCCGCAGTGAAAACTGTCTAGCATTGGCTACTCTTCACTCCATGGCTGTTGATTTTGCCAAGACAGGAGCACCTGCTGAGATGCCTCGTGCTCTTAAACCAAGGGAGTTTCCGGACTTCATGCAGAGGGAAAACAAACCCATGTATACTTCCTCTGGTGTACTAGGAAAACTGTACCGTGGTACGATCAGCTCAACCGTGCAAGCAAGGTCAAAGTTTTTCTGGACAAAGGGGATGGCTGAAGTAGCGTACGATCATGAGCTTGAAGTGAATGGTTTTGATTTGTTCCTATCAGTTGCAAGGACTCATAAAGAAATGTATGAAGAGAGAATGAGTTTATTGATGAGCTATTATGAGGTAGAGTATGAGGATGAGATCCTGACAGGTAACATGCACAACAAAGCACAGTTTTTGCAGCGAGATAACAGGCGATACGGAGAAATGAAGGAACGAATCGTACTCTCTGCCAAGGACCTGCAGAGAGAAGCTAAACAATGGTTTAAGAATAGCTGCTGCAAGGCTGATGAGCATCAGAAACTTGCCTCAGTATGGTATCACGTGGTTTACCACCCAAATTACTTCCAGGAAAGGATGAACTTCTTAAGCTTTCCATGGATTGTCGGAGACATTCTACTGAGGATAAAATCTCGGAATAGGTTTCTGAATAGCCGAGAAATTCAGAGAAACCGGCCGGAATTCGTTAATGTGTATGTAAAGTCCCCAAGAAGGCCTACTGCATCAGGTGATGAACCCTCAGAGGCTTGATCAATGACCAAATCCAATATTCTCCTGTGAATGTAAACTGCTGTCTCACCAATTTGTAGGTGTTTTAACTATTCTCTCCCAGTGATAGATTTATCACCCCTTTTCTTCTGTTAGCATTCTGACTAGATGAGACATAAAGGAAAATTACCATCTTGCCCCTGCAGTTTTTATTTACAACCATTGAATCTCACTAAAATTTTGTAGTATCTTGAATGATCTCTTTTCTGAATCAAAACCTTTACTCCACTGGTCATGTGAGCCGGCAAGAGTGGGACAAAGACTGGTTTTTCCGAAACAACCGGTTTGGTTTCGAGCCGCTGGAAGCTGGGGTGGATGTACATGACTCCCTTGCACATCTATTATTTTGAGAAAAATATTAAATTTAGTTTAACTTATTAATAGGAATAGAAAAAAATAAGAAAATTTACATACTCAAAATTTTTTAGAATAGGGTATTAAAATTTTAGATCCCCATTTTTTAATTTCTAGATCCGCGCTGGAAGTATGGAAGCCACCACATAGTTCATCTGAATGAATGCCATCTTTTTCCCAAGGACCTGCCTGGAAGACCGGAAACATGTATGGACAAACTTTCCTTGGTGATCCTCCATGGTAGCTTGCAGGTTTAATAAACCACGGCTCGGTATGAATTCCATAGGGAGAATATGTTACCCTATCTCCAGCACGTACCAGAGTGCCATCGGGCAATAAGTCATCAGCCAACGCTACTGGTGGATAAAGCCTCGTTGATTCACAAAGAGATGCTTTCAATTATTGAAGTCCCTTCAGTGATTCGTAATCTAACAAGCTTTTCTCCATATTGTTTGTCTCTTTCGTAACCTCTTGTTTTATAAATGGATGGCAGGAAAGCAACCAGAGGAGCCATGTCATTGCAGCCGAAGTTGTATCCCTTACTGCCATGATGAAGCTTATGGGCATACCTCTCACCACTTCCTCGTTGTTACCAGCAATTATCAGCCTCGGTAAGAGATCTTCTTCACCGAGATTCTCTCTGTTTTCGCCAGTCACTCTTCTTGTCATGAATGATTCCCTCAACGAATGCACGAACTTCCTCCACTGCATCCTTGAGCTGTTTCTGCGATCCGACCTGGACCCATTTCTTAACCTTCCAAACCAAGAACAAAGGAGCAGCACCATGCTTGGATGATCTCTGACGCTGTGTCGAAAGCCTTGTTGCGAGGTGAAACAGGCTGAGAAGGATCCAAACCACAGACATTGTAGATCATATTCCTTGTAGTTTCAACCAGATTCTAAATTAATGCCCACATATGTTGGTCTTTTTGTTTTTATTGACCAGTCGTTAGATGGATAGGCGATGGCAACAATATCTCGAATCTCGATAGTTGAAATGCCTTGTATATCCCTGGTGAAGTCAAAGCTTCAATCAGAACCGTTGAAATTCTCAATTTTGACATCTTTACCGACCAATCTTCCTATCATATAACGGCAAAAGTGCCCAGTTATTGATACAGTGATTGTTTAATTCCCAAAAAAATCCAGTTTACTTATTATTTCCCGAGATGGGGTGAAATGTACAGTGCTTCAAGTGATTCTTCGGATATCTCGGCGTTTTTAGGGTTAATTTTTTCCATGCTTGATTTCTCGGCATCTTTGGGGTTAATATTTTCAATGACGCTAGGGGAATGCTCGGCGTCTTCAAGCAATGCATATTGACTGTGGGATCTCTCGGCGTCTTCTGCATGCTACAGGGAATGCCAAGGTGGATCTCTCGGCATCTTCACCTGTCGTCTGGCGCACGGGAATCTCTGCATGACTCTCTGAATCGTGCATGCATGCTGGGGGGCCTGGACGTCTGAATCTCTGCATGACTCTCTGCATGCATGCAGAGTTGCTTTGACACTTAAATACAATAATAGTGGGATTGCTCGGCGTCTTTAGTTAATAGGGTTACAAGGGCGTTCGATTTCCCGGCGTCTTCAGCTATGCATGGAGAATATTTGGTTGCAGGTGGCCGTGAAATCTCGGCGTCTTCTTCTTCCTCCGAGATTCGTTCTACGTGAATCTGTATGCTTTGTGGCCGAAGCGTGAGATTCGCCTGAAGCGTCTGTATGCTTTGGGGCCGAAGCGTGAGATTCGCCTGAAGCGTGAGATTTGTTGCATGCTTTGAGACTAATAATGTGTCTTCACCGATCAGACTAATAATGAATTTGCTCGAAGTATTCAATTGCAGGGATGATATTATAAAAAAACGTCAATAATTGGTGCACCGACTTGTTATAAAATAGGGGTGGGTATTGTATTTCATTGCATGCAGTTGGTTTTAACTTACAGAAGCAAGTGAGGGAAATTTTTTTTGCATTAGATTCAATTGGAGCTGCTGCTTGAAGTGATATTGGAGATTTTTGTTGGTTCGGTAATTTTTCGAGCTTTGGTTTAACGTCGTTTAAAAACACGTAAGTTCTTTCTCGTTTCCCATGCGAACTCTGTTTTTTTCGTGTTGAAAGAATACTCATATATGTTAGGAGAATGATACATTTAAATTTTGTTCATGAGACCATAGTAATGTAATTTAGAGTACTAATGTTAATTTAAAATTAGAAAATGTAAGTTTGATGATTAGGTATACAGAAAATTTAAGTTTGAGTATTATTGTTAATTTAAATTTTCGTGTAATTTTTAGTTGTATTTTTATATAATAATTATTAGAATTTTTATTTTGATTTAGTGGGAAAAAAATTCCCATTATGTAATCCTGACATTTTTACCGTAATAATAATGTATTTAAGTATTATTTTTATAAAACAATTGTTAACATAATTTATATTTATTATTTATTATTTATAGTTTTGTAAATAATTAATTTTCATTACATTATTAATGTAATTTATTCTGAATATCTATATTTTTACGTGTAGAGAAAATGAGCAACAAATTTTTCACGATTGTCCATTACAATGGACATATGATGGAAAATGAGGTTGGAGTTATTTTTTAGTCTGAAACACCTATAAATATGATGTTTAAAAGGGACATCATATTTGCAGAGATCAAGGAGAGGATAGAAAGAAAAATACGTGCTAAAGTTGATGGTTTGAGGTACAGATTTATGGTATGTCCCAATCCGGTCAGGTATGCTGCAGTACCACTTGAAGAAGACGATGATATTATAACTATGGTTGAATTACATGACTCAACAAATATTCAAATTATTGAGTTATTTGTTGAGTTGTGTAATATATCTAATGTGCCTGGGTCATCAATAAATGCAGTTGGAACTTTATCTCAAATGGGTTTCGAGAGTCATTTCGATAACCCAACATATAGGTCGATGAACAGCTTTGTGGCGATGTTGGAAAGTGCAAATGAAGTTGGTGGAACATCTGGAGCTGCAAAGTATGATGCTGAAAACCGCTGGGAAGAAATACTTGAAGATTCCAGTGAAGATGAAGAAACTGAGGAGCCTCTTTTGGCTGAGGATGATGCCATGTTCCATGGTGATGAAGCTGATATCAATATTGATGAATATTCGACATTGTATCAACCTACCCCTCACATACAGGAGATTGATTATGAAGCAATGAGGGTACCTGAATTCCCGGAAATGCCACATTTAACTTCAGGCTACATGATTGAATCGTCCGATAACTCTGGTGAATTAGCAGTTGGGAAGCAATACAGAGGAAAAAAAGAAGCTACACTAGCGATTAAAGAGTATTGCGTAAGAGGCCATGTAGATTGCAAGACTGCAGAGTCCAACCAGAAAACTTTGTATGCGAAGTGTGTTAAATATGGGCCCGAGTGTAAATGGTTGATCA